TTCCTGAATTTAAAAAAAATAAGAGACTTGACTCTCATGCTGTGGCTCAGAATTTTTAATGGAAGGTGTGTGTGTGTGTGTGTGTGTATATATCGGGGGTGGGAGTTGTGCGGGGGGTCACAGCACATTTGTTCCCTGGGGAAAAAAAATGGTGGTATAGAAAGAGACTTGACTCGAATGGCAGTAGGGGGGGAGACACGTGTCGGCGTGACGTTCTCCGAGTCCATTTCATCAAGAACTTGCAAACAGCATCTTGATTTTGTTTGATTTCGTTTTAAATTGTCACTCATCCGTTCCATTGTGTGTGTGTGTTCCAAAGTTTCTCGCAGTGCAGGTGTGGGCGAGTGTGTAGCAACAACATAAAACTTGTGTGGCCTTGACACAAGTGCGACCATTAAAAAAAAAAAAAAAAAAAAAAAAACTCTCAGAATTGTTGTTGTTCTTTTTGTTTGCTCGGCTTCACTCTTCTTGTGTTTGTTGTTCTTTTTCCCAAAGTTCATTTGGGATTTTGGGATGTCAAGTTTTCCGCCATGTCATTCCCGGAGACAACAGCTTAGCGGCCGTCAATCAGGCAGCTACTGTTTAGCATTCACACGCTCGCAACAGGAGAAAGTGCGTGCGTGTGCGTGTGTGTGTGAGAGTGTGTGTGTGTGAGAGTGCAACCAAGCATGCACGAGAGTGGAGGTTCATATCCATGACACAATTCACACGCAGTCACAGGATGGCTCAGGAAGCGCCCGCACGGGCCGCCGCCACCAAAGCAAAAACGTCAACGCAGTCAAAGAAGATGGAGGACGAGGGCACTTAAAGTGATTGTGACGCCCGTCCACCCCCTCGCCCCTCCTACTTTTTCCTCCTCGTACTCCTCCTCAGAGGCTGCGGCGACGATGAGGAGGAGGAGGAGGAGCTCTGATGGCACGTACGGCACTTTGGATGCAGCGATGGCTGTTTGAAAGTGCTCGAGAAATACAGTTGAGTTGAGTTGAGAATCCCGATGACGGGCGGCAGCAGCGCCCTCACCTCCTCCACCTCTGAGATCCTCTTCATGGTCATCCTCTTCACAGGCCGAGAGAGCGAAGGAGGCGCAGCTTTCATGATGAAGATGAGCACCTCCTCCTCTCCATTTGTTCTTTTTCCTCCTCCATCTTCATCCTTTTCACCCTCATCCTTGTTCTCCTCCTCCTTCCACACCTCCACGTCGTTCCTCCCGCCATCATCTCTTTCCTTCCTCGCCATTCGTTCCCGGCAAGGTGGAGGAGGAGGAGAAGGAAGCTCGCTCCCTTTTTAAATATGATGAGGAGCGGCATCTCTTCCGTCTCTCGCGACCTCCATCTTGTCTTGACTCCCTCCTCCGTCCTGTTGAGTTTCTCCTTCTCTGGGTCTTCTTCCTTCTCCTCACGGACACGTTGCTCCTTGTCAT